AACTGTAGCCGTTTGCAATGCAGTATGCGGCAAATCCTTATCCGTCGGCAGCAAACACTTGTCGCGATCCAAATCGATTAGCGACATAAATTGTTCACCATTGCTTTCGATTTCTTTAAAAATTCGCGGCCACTCGCGCGACAACCGACGTCCTGGTAAATTTTTCATGTGTTTCGTGTATGCCTGCGCACACTCAGTCTCGCCATCTAGCCAAATAATTTTGCCAAAGAAACGATCGGGTGTTGGGAAGAAATGTTCCGGCCATATAGTCTCTAAATACCAGGAAAATGGTTTGCATTGGAGTTTCTCGCGCAGGGAGAGGCGATCGCTGACATCAATCCGTTCACGTGTCTCCAAAGAGAGACCGGATGTGTACAAGAGTATAAAATATTGCCAGTCGTCCATCCAAGTCATAGCGGCGCGCGCTAAATTATTTCCCAACACTTCGCTCATGCCGCCTGGGAAGGTGTACGGTGTAGTGCTGCGGAAAACATGGCCTACGTGCGAACAGGGACAGATTTCGACACGACCTCCACATTGCCACACGCGGAAAGACATCTCAACATTTTCGCCGCCCCAAATCTGTAATTGTAGTAGATGACGTTTAATAAATCTTTCTCACAACAATTACTCCTTTAATTCCAATTTTCAAGCACATCCGTACCTTCATCTCTTTGTCGTATGAGCCAATTTCAAAGAAATAGCTCTTGTCGATTGCAAATAGTCCACCAGCCATGGCCGGTGACGCGATCGGCTCAGTGCGGTCACTCTTTGGCGTTGCTCTGTTGCGTCTGGTGCTGTACCATCTAAAACTGAGCTGCCAATTAAAAGCACCCCAATGATTTTCAAATGTTTTTGTATAACTAAAATTATCATCGGAAATTATATCGATAACCGGCGCTACCACATTGGTGCGTGACTCCTTCACACGCTGCAGCAATGGCTCTAACCAGCCGCGCGTGCACTCGCAGTGCGCATCCAAAAAGGTCAAAACGTCGCCCTTAGCATGCTCGGCGCCCAACAAGCGCGCTGGCACTAAGCCGCCGCGTTTCTGTATGCGCAGCAAACGTGTTGGCACCGTAAGTACTTTAATATAGGC